ATAAAGTAGAGTTTATTTATATTCAATTATATGATTTATATGGCCGCCCATCTCACATGAGTGACTCTGGGCAGTGCCCAAGGATTAAAAACACACAAAAAACATGCCACATAACCCCTGGCGCCCAAGGATAAACCCCACTCACAGAAGGAAAAAAAGCACAACAATAACAGCAGAGCTCATCTAACCTCCTGACTCAAACACCTGGGGAAACAGCCAGGTCTTTAGTGCCTTACGAAAGGCTAACAGGGTTGGGACCATCCAAATCTCCAGGAAGACGCTGTTCTGTAGGGCAGGCATTGCCACTGAGAAGGCACAACTCTGGGGTCCAAGAAGATGACTTGAAGGGATCTGGAGCATGCCTGTTCTACTAGATCTGATGGGGTAAGCAAAAACAATGGGGGAAAGGCAGTCCCACAATTAGCCTGGCCCTATGCCGTGTAAGTCCCAGTCTAACATGTGGAATCTGTTTCTGGATCTGGCCTATCTCAAAGGGCTGACATCAATAATGAAAGCTTGTATTCTCCCTTCCCTCCCTCTTTTGAACATGCATAGTGATGTCATACGCATAAGGTTCAGGCCTGGTATTGCGACATTATGATGTGCATGTTGTCATTTTGACAAAACTTCAAGATTCAGCCAACATTTCTAAGAAGAGCTTTGGCTTGATGAAGTCCAAAGACTCCCTGGATGCACCTCCAGAATGAATCCTTATTTTTTGCTATTATCATTGGAGCATCATGGGGCACTTAGTTAAAGTAGACATGAAATCTAAGGGCTGGTAAAAATAATAATCATAATCATAATGAAAGCAGCAATAAAGCCAGAGAACAGAAGGTGGTGACACTCACAAGTGGCTAAAAAGAAGCAGGGTGATTCATATTCCACAAGTAACATAAAAAAGAAACATCACTTCAGAGTTTTGTTGCCGTGTCTCAAATGCATTTCAAGCTCTTCTTCATCAGAAGCAGCTAAAGGCAAACTGTTCAAAACACCTAATGCACTATATGCAAGACTTTAATACCTTACGCCAATGCAGGCCACTTGACAATTTTGCATATATTTAATTATAAAGAGGAACTTGCCATTTCCTGTCAGTATCTTTCTCCCCCTTAGACTGAGGCCAAAGGATTCATGGAAATACAGTGTGTACCAAAAGTGAGGCCCCATGGATAATTTATTATGTAAACCACATTAAATGTTTGAATTGGTTGCCATTTTCTTCTAAACACTTCCTTAATCATTTGACGTACAATCTTTGAACATTCCCAAGTACAGTAACACATTCTCTGAAAAAAAAAATTAATTAATAACATTAATAGAACATTGGATTGGCCTATGGGGCCTGACTTTGGGTATATCCTGTATACCCAAAGGCACAGCGTAAATATACGAATGGAAAATATTCATATCAAGAAGTCTTTTGGGAAGGCACCCTGGGCAGAGCTGTTTAAGGGAATGAGAAACTTGGTTATTTTTTTCCATCATTATTTAGGTACCCTTAGTAAATTGGGTATTTAGAACAATTTGCAGCAGGAAACCCTCAAATGGACAACACTTCAAAGCCCTTGTTTTGAGATGCTCCCTCTAAGTCAATAAAGACAAAATACTGAGCTGGTATATAAACTGTGCTGAGAAAAAAAAAACAAAAACAGATTAGAGTGACCTGTATTTGTTTCATTTAAGAAACAGATCTTCTCTATTTACATAATCTATTTTGCATGGGAAAGTTGAACTTCCACCTTCTCCACCCAAACGCAGTCCTTCACTATGCACTTTTTTTTTTTTTTAATTTGTTAAATGGGAATTTGATTGACTGCCTGACATATATGCCAAAGGTCTTTAGGGAGTAAAGGGGGAGATTAAGTGGCATGGGCAAAAGTGAAGGAAAGAAACAGATAATCCTCTGCATTTGCAAGGATGTAGGGAAAACTATAGCCTTAATACAGAGTGATTGACAGAGGTGTTTATCATCTGGCAATGTCAGCAAAGCTACTTGGTTCTGGGGATCAACTGGTTGCTGAGAGCTGAGAAGTTCATTGTGAACAGGACACATCTACAAAACTGTATCTGATTTGTTGCGAACTGCCGACAGCAGCCCAGCCTATAAACGATTTTCAAAACTTCCTGCTTCCAGAAGTTGATTCATCAGCCAAGAGGCTGAATCTCTACATATATTTATACAACCGCCCTGAGTTCCACTGGTTAGATGGGTGACTGTATAAATTTGCATGTAATTACATGGCATGGAAGCTGCTCTACATAGAGTTGTATGCAAAATTTAGGCACCCCTGATCAAAAGGTATGTTTCAATTAATTCCTAAGCAAACAGAAGCTAACCCAACCTCTATATGGTACAAGGTTAAACATCCTTCTGAAAATTTGAATGCATAATTTAAATTTGCTTACTGATTCAAATTTAACAGAACTATGAATATGGCAGGTGCCAAAGTCTGGACAGCATTCCAGTTGATTCACTGCTATTCCTGTTTTTACAATAAAGTTGTTAATAAGCTGCAAAAAGGTGATTGAGTCATTAGGCTCAAAATTAGCCAGGTGAAGATAATTCCACAGGCAAACAAATACTCTGACCCTTCTAAGCTCTCCGTTTGAGATTGCTGTTTGGTCTACTTTCCACAATTATGGGCTCCTCCAAGCAGCTGAGCATTTTGTGAGAATGAATTATCATTCATTCTCACAAAACAAGGGAAGACTATTTAAAAATCTCTAAATGCTTCCAGATAGCAACTTCAACTGTGAGAAACTGTTAAAAATGGAAGTTACATGGAACTCTTGAAGTCAAGGCAAGATCTGGAAGACCAAGAAAAATATCTGCTGGAGGTACGCAAAACCCAGCCAGGTCTGCTGAAATGACCTGCAGAAAAGTTTAGTTAACACTGGAGATGCTGTCCACAGGACAGTGCTTACACAACAGTGATCTGTGTGGAACACATGCCAGAAGGAAATTTTCTCTAATCTAATCTCTAAACACAAAAAGTCACAATCGAAAATATGTGAAATGAAAGTTTAATAACACTGAAATGATTTGAAGCAAACAAACTGATAAAACAAAAATTAAACTGTTCAGCCACAATCACACAAGAGAAAAAGGCTTGAAGCATCTTGCCAACCATTAAGCATGGGAAGAATCTATTATGCTTTGGGATTGGTGTTAAAGCCAGTGGCACAGGAGATACTGTACAGGTGGAAGGAAGAATTGATTCTACTAAATATCAACATATGCTAGAGGTTAATGTTCCAGTCAGTGAAGAAACATAAGTTTAAAAGATATTGGATATTTCAGCAAGACGATATTCTGAAACATACCTCCAAAACATTCCTCAAGTATTTACTTACATGAAAGAAAAACAAAGGTTCTGGAATGGCCTTTACTGTCCCCAAACCTGAACATTATTAAAAATCTCTGTGGAGAAATCAAACATGTAGCATGTGCAAAGAGAGCTAAGAATATTTCTAAGCTAGAAGAGTTCTACAAGGAAGAGTGGAGAAAAGTTCCAAAAGGAAGAACAGAAAGAATTTTAGCTGGCTATAGAGAACATTTGGAAGTTGTTATTTTTGCCAAAGAATGTGTTACAAAATACTGTCCAAGCTTATATACCTAGTTTATTCACTATTTTCTTATTATAAAGGTGCTTACAACCGTATGAGGATGTATTCAATTTTGCAGAAAGATGTCACGTTCAGCCTTGTATCATGCAGAGATTGTGTCAGCGTCTGTTCCCAAACAGATTAACTGAAACATACAATTTGATCAAGGGTGCCATGTGCATGTACCTCTACTACAAGGGATTCTGGTGTGGGTTTTAAGGTAAAAATCTTCACCTTCTCGAGCACACAAGTGTATCTTTACCATCAACCTGCAAAATGTGATTCCTTTTTACATTGTGAATTTACACAGTTAATAACTGGACTTTCCTTCTCTGTATCTCAAAACATCAAAGTCTGCTATCCAGAGATAGGCACAAGACAGCAGGTGGCTCAGAAAATAGAGCCAATTATCTACTGCACTCCAGGAATTCTAATGTGCAAGTTACGAATGATCAGAAATTCTAATACTCTTGGGATCGATGCACACACTATTTTATGTATGGTTTGAAGACCATGGTTTATGGCTTTACATTATATGGGCAAGGTGCAATCATGTGTGGCCTTTTCGTGAGGCTCTGAAGCCTTCCAAAGCCTCATGAGAAAGCTGCATGTGATTGAAACAAGGCCGCACACAGCCTCAGGAACGCCTGGAGCAGCCAGCAACTGTGTTGCAAAGGGCCAGGCCAGGCACGCCTCATCCGTAGTGCAAGGAAGAAGACGACAAAGGTCAACTGGGAGTGGCAAGCCTGGCAAGGCGAGCAGACTGCAGGGCGGCAGAGTGAGCAGAGTCCAAGGCACCCAAAAGGGCAGAGATGGAGGAATATAGGCGGGTGCAGGGAGTTGAACAGGAGGCAGAGGAGGCAGTCACTTACCTTACTGAGGCTCAAGACTGGGAGGGACCAAGCTGAGAATGGCTTGGATCAGGGTGAGTCTTTGCCTAAGACTGGTGGAATTCAGTTAACAACGGCAACAGGGACTGCCAGGATTGCCGTCGCTAAGCAATGCGGTCACATGACAACGCACTTTACAACTGCATTGCTTAGAGATGGAAATTCCGGTCCCAGTTATCGTCGTAACTTGAGGACTACTTGTAATTTGTATTTGGGGCAAAGCATTTTACAAGGATGTCAAGAAAAGTACAGAGGGACCTCAGGAATTATTTTACTCTGGAAGAAAGCACCTTATTTCTGGGAGACATTTATGAAGAAGCAAAGATCATATATAATACTGAATTAAAGCAGTGTTGAATTAAAGCAATGTTTTTCAAACTTGGCAACTTTAAGATGTGTGGCTAGGGAATTCTGGGAGTTGAAATCCATACTTCTTAAAGTTGCCAAGTTTGAAAAACACTGAATTAAAGTAACGACCATGGATGATATGTAAAGACTTACCTAGCCGAAGTTCCCCAAAGTTGCCACATCCAATCTTCTTCCCAACGCGAAAATTCGGGCCCACCATTAAGACTCCGGAGTTGGTCCCTGCTGTTCGGCTCCCATGAGTGCTCCGGCTTCCACCCGTTTTAGACATTCTTCTAGTCTCCTCGTTTTCCCCCTTCCCTCCTCTCTTATCAAAATCCATAAGTTTGTGATACCCTGGCCTCTCCACGGTTACACCACTGCCATACAAAT